ATCAATGTTATATTTTAAGATCTGTGCAAGAACTCAGCTAACAGATGTTTCTGCATATAAAAGCTATCTTCAAATCACCTTTCATTTAGAATGACTTGGTAAAGGCTTTGTAAATTCACAGACAGATTTATATTAAAAATAGTGTGTTTAAAAGTCTGAGATTTTGTGCACTAGACCTGTATTGTTTGCCAAAAACTGGCCAAATTTTGTGAAGATAGACTTGGTACTTTCAGAGTTATAGTAAGTATAGTTTCATGATTACATGATGGTTACAAAGTTAATAAAATTGACCCAGCCCATCTGTTTAAGGTTGAGAAGCTAGTGTGAGATACAGTATTGTTGGAAGTTAACAAAGTAACTAAATAAATTTCAACAATATTATCTCTCTGGTTGCCCCAAAATTTGGTCCTAACAAGTGTCCTGTTTACCTAAAACTACCATGGATTGGTAAATTTCAACAAAATCTGAAAAACAATTGAAAACAGCCATTACTAAATGTTTTCCTGCAGTGAACCCCTACTATGTTTATTCCACACGTAAGATGTTGCCTGCAACATACAAAGATGCGATACCTACCACACAGAAAAGTATGGTTATTTATGAATTCTCGTGCCACTGCAAATGTCGGTACTTAGGTCGCACTTCACAAAGACTGTAGGATAGAATTAAACAACATGTACTAACATCCATAAGAAATAAGTGTGAAAGAAAAGAATTTACCATGTCGCTCCTGTAAAATAAAAGTTCTATCACCAAAATGTGAATCAGCAATTGGCCAGCATTTACTAAACTGACTTGTGCTGACAACTACACGGATAGCAGGTTTAAAATTATTGCAAATGGTCTGTCAACCTTTCATCTCTGTATTTTGGAAGCCACCTTTATTAAAACACATAAACGTGTCCTTTGCCGCCAAAAAGAATTCCTATACAATCTACACATCCTTCAGGGGGTCTGTGACATTTCCTGATTGGCCTAAGGACATGCCAATCAGTGACTGCCTTACCGACCTACGTTGATCTGACTCATTTTATAAGCTATACTAATTCCTATAGATCATTTTCCAGATGGTTCTGCTATGATTAGTGTCTGGTGAAAAGCTTCAGCAGATATTTCCTTTGCAATATCCCAACCAACAATTGGTCCAGTTATCAACGCTATTTTCCAGTTTTGAACAACTCGACTTTCAAGATCTACATATCTACATGTGCCGATGTTTCCGTTTATCAACATTATATTTTAATATCTGTGCAAGAACTCAGCTAACAGACGTTTCCGCATATAAAAGCTATCTTCAAATTATTCTCTGTAGGTCATACAGCTTTATAAAGTGAATAATTTGATCGTTAGTCAAAATTTCTTTATTTAGCAGATGGTATCACCAACAAAAATCAGACTAATTCAAGCATGGAGGAAACCATCAGAAAAAGAACATAATAAATAACAAAATTTTCTAAACATAAGGCTAGTTACAACATCAGTTTTACTACTAATAATGTGTTATGTAACATTTTGTCTCCTATTTCCTGTGATCACTAAGAATGATTTTTGTTGTAGGTGAAATGGTTAACATCACTGAAAGAAAGACTTGAAATGATACGAAAACATAAACATTACATAAACACCAAGTTAGTCATATGCATGAACCTAGTAAAGTTAGTGAATATAAACATCAAGTACACAAAAAAACATTTTACTTCATCACTGATAAATTTGAGTTTACCATTTGAAACACGTAAAAAACACTACCTAAACTGAAAGCTACTGTGGCTCAAATTCTAAAGACAAACAGCAACCAAATAGTTTATTAGAGGGATGGCATTCACACTTTTTGTATTTGTAGGTATGAAAAACAAATTATCTGTACCCCTTTAAAATTTGCAACATTAACCCTAAACTATCAAATACAAATTTCATATTTATCTGAAAAGCAATAACATCAATTATAGTTACTTTATATTTTATCTATCCTCAGTTTCATAAAAAAATGTTCTAGAAATTTACCATAATCACATTATTTTCTAAGTTCTTCCTGACCCTTCTACATTTCAGTCTGATTAGCAGCAAGACTAGCACTGTGTTATCAATCTGTTATCACCTTCATATTTAAAGCTCTAATTTTAAACTTATATACTGTTTCCAGCTTGGACAGAAACTGAGTTATGATCTTATAAAGACTTTAAGGATAAAAATTTGTTTCTCAAAATATGAGATAATGTTATTGCTATTACCTTTGGGGCTTTTGCATGTGAGCCAATACTTTTTAACTACAATATTTTTAGCTAAACAATATCTAGGGTATTAAGCTTAAATATGTAAGAAAAAGGATATAAATAAAGATGCAAAGATTTCTGCAAATTTAACAGCAAACAATTATAAAAGTCAAGGCAAAGATGAAATATGTGGTCTGAAACAGTTGAAAAAAAAAATTTTAAATATATAATTTTCATATAAATGCTAAAATACTAAATGATAACCACACAGAAACCTATAAAAACTTGGCTGAACAATTCACAACTTTAACATTTTGATCTTAACGAAGAATAAACAATGTGTATATATCATCAATATATACACAATTGTGATAGGTTTCTTTAATATATCTTGTACAACTCTGTCATATCATAGTAACTGATCTATATTTTAAAGCCTAAGGTTGACTCTGGATCAGACACAGAAGACATCTAATTAAAAGGGTATAATAAATGTAACTGAAACAACTATAAAGATGTCACATCACAATATTAGTGATGTAACAAGTCTACAAACTGTTTATATTAATCTGAAAAGTCATACTGTGCTTGTTTTAATTCATCTTCTTGTTTCTTCAGTTCATTGGCTATGCGGTTTCGCTCTTCCTCAGCCATGCCTTTTTCTTCCATCATTTTACGACTTGCTTCAATTTTTGCTTGAATTTCTTTCATCTTTTCTTCAGAAACACCTGTAAAAGTCAGTATACATCAGAAAAATATTTGGACTATGAATTATTTTGAGTTATTTTTAAAAAATACAAAAATGGCTATTACATTCAATAAAACCAGTGAGAAGCAAATAAAATAAAGCTGAAAAAAAAACACATTTACTACTTAATTTCCACAAATTTTAAGAATTATGTTAGTTAAAAAATTCAAGATATGGGTTTAATTCTTATATTACAGCTAGCTAAGTTTTGAAAAGTTAACTTTTATGTCATCTACTGTTTACAGTTTGCATCTAACAAGTAAAAATTTCTAACACTAGTTACCACTACATAAGAATTTCTGAACTTGTATTAAAATAAATGAATGTTTTTAATCAGCCTTCAGAAAGTATTTTCATTTGTATGAATAACAAACGGTTTGTTACTCTAACAGATTAAATACTTAAAAGCTTATGACATTAGTTTTGATTAAAATTCAGTTCTCTTCCTTTAACCCATTCCTTTACCTTACCTATTGTTTTGTTTAAACACTATTACATTTAGGACACATTGCTTGCCTAAACTCCTGGACTCATATAATAACTTACAAGTAGCAATTTGTACTAATCAAAGGAGTAGTGAATATCATTTGACACTTAAAAGTGTTTGTGAATTATGTCCCAGAATAAAAAAAGAGGTAACTATAACAGTTTTACATAAATCTAGAACTATTATATCCAAGGTAAGGATTGAATAAAATATAATCTAAATTTGAACATGTGGAAATGCTACTACTCTCTAAATCTTATAATTCTCAATATAACAGTGTACTAAGAGGAACTAGGTTGTAACAATTTTTAGAATAGATTTACCCAAGCTCACCTGTATACAAGCTGAGCCCTGAAAGGTTTTATGTTTAAGCATGTAGTATACAATCTCACTGTCGAGTAAACTATTTTTTAAAGTTTATAGGGACATGATATATATGTTCAGCAATTCTTTTTATATTCAAATCTACTAGTAATAAGACAGATACAAATATATGTCATGAGAAAAACATGTAGACTATTGCTATATAAAGATCCTTTGGTTTGTATTATGTTGAGTAACATTGTTCAACTAATAATATTTTAATCTTGCATGGTCAGATTGAAAAAATAGTGACACATTCTAAATCTGTACAATTGTAATAACTGAAAAATTCCAATAATATAGCCTAAATATGTACACAGCAATATCAAGTTTAGAAGTGTTTGTGCACGTACAGTTGATGCATTACATGAATTACCATTCTTATGTGTATGTTGTTCCTCATTGGACCTACATCAGCTACTGTTCTTCACATTTTCTTATAACAGGCAAGCATGGTAATAGTTTTCTATGACATTCTCTCCACAGACTGACATTATTCCTTGAGTGCAAAGCAAGTCTTATCTTGTTTTACAAGAAACAAATATATTTTGTCCAACACTAGAAACTACAAATGAAGCCCTGAATATACAAGTAATTTTGGATAATAAATTTAGTTGAAAGTACTACTAGCTATTTATGCTTTGCTTTAGAATTAAGATTTTCAGAGATAAGAAACAAAACAGATTATTGATAAGACACTTTAATCCAATCATGATCATATATTTCTACAACATGTTTATTTTCAAAACTGCATCATTAATTCATCAAAGGAAACAAGTAAAGAGCATACATGTACTTAAGTAGTTGGACAGATTAATGTAAAAAAGAAATTATAATTGTTAATACCTTTTTTACGCTGATTTTTCTTCTTTTTCTCCTTCTTAGCACCATTATTCTCTTCACCATTTTCTTCAGGGCTACCCTCAGCACTGCTGGTTCCTTCTCCAGAGTCACTGTCTTCTCCCTCTAAATGGAAGCATGTTCAAAATTACAAAATTTGGTTTAATTATTTTGCAATTAAGAAAATCTCTAAATATTATAACATCTGTGTACATAGATAAAATTTCAAAATATATATAGTTCTTGTGCATTGTAAAGAACAAGCAGCCTTTCAGAGATGGTTGTTTTTCTAAGCTGATAAAGTTACAATCAAATCTATATTCTCAGAAGTTATAACAGTGCTCTCTATTAAAATACACCCAAAGTAACAATCTTTCCTATATTACGAACAAAAAAACACATGCATAAAGCTACAACAGATCACACAATAGTATCAAATATTCTTTAATCTATTACACATAGTAGAAGGTTCTAGAGTATTACTAACTGTTTCACAGATATTATTTTAGTATACAGCTATGCACACACAAAACAAAGGATGTGACCTGTTATCTGGACACAAGTAATATTTTTCCTTCAGCTGCATTATGTTATGTAACACGGTGATTTTCAACTGGAGGGCAGTTAGATGCATAGTTATGGGCCATAGTGGCCCAGAGCAACTGTGACTACCCTAAACTATAAGTAATCAACTGCATATGTGAGCTTTTAGTATTGTGTCAAATAACTATATGAACCTTAAGATGCAAAAACTGAGAAATCCTGTTGTAACAGACAAAATGTAAGACCCACAAAAAATGAGCAAACTGCATTACAAATAAATAAATAAGTAATGGCAATAACATTTTCACACTATTACAGTTACTAATTACCTTCTTTAAGCTGTTTCTTCAGTTCCTCTATCTCTTTCTGGAATTGTCTTAAAAGAGCATCTTTGGGATCTTCATTAATTCTGGCCTTGTTCTTGATGTTTTTGGCTCTGTTTGCATACCTCAGAGTACTAATGGTTTCATCATAATTGTACTCAGCAGGGCCAATATTTGCACACTGAATAGCAATATCAGCACAAATCTCATTGTTAGAAAAAAAGTATGAAAGTTTATTTCATAAAATTAAAAAAACTATATCTATAAAAATAAAACTATATCTACAAATATAAAAGTCCAACAATAAATCTATTTATTATGCAATTACAACTACGAAGCTCAAGGAATCGTAGAATCCTGGATGTGTTCCTCAAGTGTACACAAAATATTCACTTTACACTTCCCTTACAGGATGATTGATGATTTGTGAAGCATTCTTGAAGCATCACATAAACTGGAGAATAATATGCAAAAAAGAAAAATGTCTATGATAGAGGCACTGTGATGTATTGTTTGACCAACAGATACCTGATAAATATGTCAACTGCTACACTTTTTGTCTGAAGAAATCATTCCACAAATCTCGTTACCATTGATCTTGTAATTGTGCCTCAATGAGAGTGCTTGATAGCAAAAGCAGTAATTGTTGCAGCACCATTATATCCATTTTTGTCAAACAGCCATACCAAGTCACTGTTCTCTGCAAATGTAAGCTTTGACATTTTTAACATGTTCTTCTGTTTTTTTCTACTCAGAGAGTGTAGACATTCAACCACTTCATAATTGAACAACCTTCTGTTGGTCAAACAGTGAGTGCATCGCAATGTCTCTGTCATAGACAAATTTCCTTTACATATCATCCTTCACATACTCTTCAGGTTTTGAGATATTCTGAAAATGTTTCATACATTATGAATTACCATGTATATACCCTTTTCTTATAACTTATCTGAAAAAAAAAAGTACAATTCAAGCTGAACTTCAATAAAGATATTTATCTATATAATGTAGGATACTATTTGTATTGTACTTGCCATGTATCAGTTTTACTACATCAAACAACCCTATGCTCTCTCTATAAAGGTTGTAACTAGCAGTCTGAACAGAAAGTGCTGAAAACATTCTGTTAACAGCAATTTCAGTTGGTAACATGACTTTTCTGGTCAATTTTGGGGTGCTGATTTTAAAAATCCATGCTACAAAGCTGAAAAATGGTTATCAAGGCCTTAAAATGCATATATTGAAATTGGATGTAAAATCATATTTTTGTACCTCTCACATAATTGTTGTTGGCAAGATGTTGTTGTTGTTGTTTGAAGTTAAGCACAAAGCTACACAATGGGCTATCTGTGCTCTGCCCACCACGGGTATTGAAACCCGGTTTCTAGTGTTGTAAGTCTGCAGACATACCGCTCTGCCACTGGGGGGCTGTTGGCAAGATAACCATATATGATGTCAAATTCAAGCTTAAAATAATTAGAAGATTCTTCTATGTACCATATACGTGAATGCATATTAATAGAAACATTTTGTTACAATATATACTTATAAGGTATCATAGATAAAACACTTAAAAATGTTTGTTTAATTTCTGATTTTATCAAATATGGAAAACTTTTACATTAATGGTATTTCTAGTCCAAATATATAAAATGACAGTTTAACTAATGTGTAACAGTAATCATCCAGTTCTATATACAGTATAAAAAAAAAAGCTAGGGTAATACTGCCAAATAATGTGTGTATTTATTTCCAACATGAGCCAAATCAATGTACCTATGACAGTTTATATGTGTTAAATTATTTTGATATTTGATTCCATTCACATGGGAACATCACAGGCCCATTTACATTATATGTATTTGGTGTTATACTTTGTTGTCAATAGCTGATAATGGACCCAGTAATTAGTCAGTTGTTAGAGATGCTTTGAAGTATTGCATCATACAAGCACACCACCAATCTGTTGTAAGGACATACTCTGCCAGTACATTACCAATCTGTTGTAAGGACATACTCCAAGTCCTGTTCTGCCAGTACATTACCAATCTGTTGTAAGGACATACTCCAAGTAGTGTTCTGCCAGCACATTACCAATCTGTTTTAAGGACATACTCCAAGTCCTGTTCTGCCAGTACATTACCAATCTGTTGTAAGGACATACTCCAAGTCCTGTTCTGCCAGTACATTACCAATCTGTTGTAAGGACATACTCCAAGTCCTGTTCTGCCAGTACATTACCAATCTGTTGTAAGGACATACTCCAAGTCCTGTTCTGCCAGCACATTACCAATCTGTTGTAAAGACATACTCCAAGTCCTGTTCTGCCAGTACATTACCAATCTGTTTTAAGGACATACTCCAAGTCCTGTTCTGCCAGTACATTACCAATCTGTTGTAAGAACATACTCCAAGTCCTGTTCTGCCAGTACCAGATGACATGGAATGGAAGTGTATTGATGGGAAACATGTTCTAGTTCTGATATCTCTATATCCTATTCCAGATGATTAGTTGCCAGTGTAACACAGGATGTATAAACCTTTGTTGCAAATGTTGTAAATGAGAACTGACATGTATACAGGACTGTATGGTTGCACCAGGTATAGTGAAGAAAATTGTTGTTATGCACACTACTGAATATGAACCGTGATCAGTCACTCTTAACACTATATTCATGTAATTCCCACTTCAAGTATATATCCAGACAATCTCTAATAACATGTTTGGCTGTGTATAGTATATGTAACATCCAAATACATGTAGCAAAAATGATGTCACATATCCTTTAGCAAAAGGTATTTATTATATATGAAATCCACATGTTGTTAAATTTTATAAGCATATTCTTTTTTGTACATAGATGACTGATATTCTAATACCACAACTGTGGAATGTTACTGCATATAATACTTGTCTTGCATTTTTCGTTTATCTTACTATAGTTACTACTAAATATTCTTTACACAAAATTGTACAGCTGGAACAGATATGGGTGTATGTAATATAAAGGAAGGCATTAAGTATATGATCCTCTTTACATGATTCTCTATACATGCCTATATGCAAATAACAAACAGTAGCTCAACACTAATTAATGATATTAAAATAATGTTTTGTTGACCATTTTTAATTTATGCATTTTCACCCCTTAAATGTCAATCTCCCATTTAGAGACTTAGATTTTCTTACTCAGCACACCCAAATTTACCAAACAAGGTATGTTACCAACTCCTCCAAAATGCTGTAAGAATTTTGCTCTTCCCAATATCCATCCAACAAAAATCCACCACTGTTAAGTAAGTACAACATCATAGTTGAATTAATGAATGGCTGCCTTCATAGTTTCTATACTTCAATTTCACAAAATGGCATCATTGTTTAATAAACATAGTAGTGCTACATGCATGTCAATATTTGCATAGTTCATTACATAATCTTTAAAATAGTAATATCAATAATGGATTCCAACTTTTATATCATGGGTTATAAGAACTTATTAGAAACAATCAATGGAAGTTGGCAAGAGAAAGTGGAAAGAAAAAGACTAAACAGTCGGACAAAAAATGTCATGTTTCTTCACAGAACACAAGGGAGGTGAAGTCATGGAATCCATTAATCCACCATCAGCCATAAAGTAAGAAAAGTAAACATAAACAGAGAAGCTCACCCACAGAAAATGTTTTGAAAAAATAAGTATGAAGAACAGATGCATCCCTCTGTTGAACAAGTGTTCACAAACTTGTGTGCTGAATAACTGATATGCATTGAACAGACAAAAGCTTATTAGAACACAAATGGTTTATTGGTTGATAAATGCATAATTTTAAAACCCATTTATGAGCAATGGTAAAATTCAAAGGAATACTAACTCAACGTGACACAAGATTAAGCACTTAATTGTGCAAAGACAGGAGATAAATTGTATGAGGAGTAACTTACAAAAATAACAACATTAGTATGAAATGACATAAAAGTGGATAACATTAATGTTGTTATTTTGTTTTGGATGAGAATGAAAGTAACATTCTAATGTTGAGATATTGGTTAATTTACTGTCTACAGAAGTACGGTAAAACATTTGACAAAAAACTGAAGTTACAATGCATAAGTAAATGAAAAAGAGAAACAACTGATAAAATTACATAATCTTTAGTTAGCCAACTTCTACAAAATACAACAGAAAATAAGTTATAATACAACCATTACTTTACAGCTCAGTTCCTTTCTTGAAATTTAGTGTTGCATAAAACATGAACGTAAGTGTGTTCTGTTCCAACAGCTTAGTTCTACATGAAACACATACTTGAGTGTTATAAGAAATGAGTGTGCTGTGTTCTGTGTCTAAGTCTTAACACTACTTAAGAAACAAGTATGCATATGTTCTAATTCTGAGGCTTAGCCTTTAATCATTACCATCAATGTCCTTGAGTTGCCTCCTAAAGAGTCTTGTAAGAGTCGAGTTAGTTTAGAGTTACGATAAGGTACATGGGTACTTTTCCCATCTACCAGTGCAGAGATCACGTTACCCAAGGTCGACAAAGAGAGGTTGATTTTAGTAGCTTCTTTAAGTCGCTGTCCTGTAGCACCGGTTTTGCTCTGTCTCTCAGATCCCTAAAAAAGAGAAAGGATGTACTAAAGGGTTTGAAACGAATTACCATACATCATCTAGACTAAACTAATTTTTAAAACAACATCTAATTAGGTACCTCAATTGGACTAAAAAAACAACAACACAGGTTTATAGCCTATATTTCAAGGAAACTTATCTCTTTATCACCAGATTGATGACAACTTTTATAAAGTTTTTAACAGTTTTTATATCTTTTGTTTACTGTGTATTAAGAAATACTTTTAGTATATTACAAAGGATGTCTTTTTCAATCTTAAATATGACATTGTCAACACATTTACTTTTAGTAAAAAAAATACCTACAATTCAACCTTTCTATACAGAAGTCTGAGTTCTTAAGCGTTTTATACACAGTTCTTTAAGTATTGATTAATTGTAACACAAATAATTATAGTACCCAAACCTCTCAAATTTAAACGTATAAGCATTAAGTACTTTAAAAAGAAAAAAAAAAGAGAAATTCACCACCTCCTGCACATGTGTTGTAAAAGAAAATTTACATTAATAAGACTGTTGCATAATATTTTTAACCATTTTGTTTGGAACTTGTAAACTTGCTATTTTTTCAGAATGTAATGTTTACTGGAGAACATACGACATCCTCATAAAAAATGATAAATCATCCGATTCCATGAAAATATTACAAGGGAAAAACTTTAACCTAGGTAAATTTAAACTTATATTTAACTGAGACATTTAAAAGGTTCATGTAAACTTGTCAACCCTTTCTCATCTAGCATGACAACTTGGAGCTGTAGATCAGTCATTCTTCACAAGCTACATGATATTGAAATACACATGTTTTTTAAATGAAAAAATACTTTTCATACAATTAGTCCAAAGTAAAATCAACATAATTAATTGTGTCTTTACTTGTTAAAACTTTCTACAATTTTTAAATGGGTTAAGAAATCTTGAAAAACAATGAACACACACAAAGATACATATTTCAAATTATCAGGTCTAAATGTAAAAATTATCTTTTGTTCTCAAAGTTAACTGTAATGTAAAACTTTCATTATCTTAGAAAACAAAGTAAGGTTACAAATTTCCTTAAAACTTATATTTTTTATTAATATTGTTGTTTAGTTTCCTAATCCCTAATAATAATACTATAATATTTCATACTTCACCCTTTTTAAAGATTATTTAGTCAAAAGGAGAAATTGTTATAACAGTTACTAAGATGGTTAGTCAAAGTGACAATTTCTGTACTTACAATATTTAACAATCCTGGAAGACTGATGCTACTGATAAGGTTAGTTTGATCTTATGATATGAATATTTTTTACATTATTAATACATTTTTGTATTATTACATATGAGAGAAGTAAAAAGGTAAAAATATCACCAACTACAAAAACAAGAATTTGCTATATAAAGTACTTTCAAAAAGTCAATTAACCAAGACTTGTTGAAAGTAGCCATATATATATATATATATAAGTAGCAACTACATTCAATACAATATGTGATAAACCTTATATAAACATAGATACATGACATTCAAAAGAAGAGCTATGTTTTGAAGTAGCCTGTTAATATAGCTGGTGCAACTTTCTTCTCTCATTAAATGGTATACTTCAGGAATGTGTAAAAATGAATTTCAGAAGAAACGTACGGAATCACAATTTTTATTATTTTCCAGAATAAAAAGCATGTGTTAGCTCTACAATTTCAAAAAAAGCTGATCATATTACAATTTCTTTAATTCTATTTAGAGACAACTTCCCTGATTACTGTAGTATTGAGAAATACAACGATCGATATATGTATAACATTTCAACATTCTTACTTACGCAACCATGTATTTCAGAAATTTTTCCAATTACTGCTGGTGGTGTCCATTCTGAGACATAATTGATTTAACTCTTTCAATGGTGGGCTCAAGCTATTATTATAGCATTGTTCATACTTGATATTATAAACACTTCTTCTAAAAGCTTTGTAGTGAAGCAGCTTAAGTGTAAAAAGATATATTCTCAGATTAAACCACAAGTAAAACAAAAGCCAATCAAAACCTTTAATTTTTTTCTTACCTATAACTAATACTGCATTTATGAAATGAATTAAAAACTATACTTTAGAAATATCCAAGTATATTGTTGTAAAACTGTATTAGCAAGTCAAACACTTTAACAATAAATGAGATAAATGTCTGTGTGTTTAGACAATGAAACATAAGGGTTATCTGTACTAGCTGTTCCTGACTTTGAATTCACAGACTAGAGGAAAGGCAGCTAGTTAAGAGCACCTACTTCCAACTCTTGGGCTACTCTACTTGAATAGTAAATTTGACCCTCAGTCTTATAATGCACAACAGCTCTAAAGCATGGATTAAGATCTTGCAGCAATGGGGCATGAATAATGTAACCCCCAGGTTCATAGTCTGGCACACTAACTCGGATAATGTTGATGTAGTGTTATCTGTTTGAACAAAACTAATTGAAAAATAGGAATGGGATGTATTTTATTTATCTTTATAAACTATTTTCCTGCTCTCAGTGAATATTTACACACACATATTAATCATACATAAGTACTGTCACAACAATCAAGCCATGTTAACTTTTTCCAGACAAGCCCATTCTACTTGCTTACAGAAAATAAAGCAATCAAAAGAAAGACTGTTAATAAGAAATAAGTGAATTAATGTGTTAACACTAGATAATGCTATTCTGCCATCCATGTTTATTGTCACAAATTGATGAGTAGAAAAGCCTGCTATTTTCCACAATGACAATGGGAATCTATAAAACTACAATGAATAATTGCAGAGTTTATTCTCTGCTCCATTTTTTTTCTTTCCTTCTGATTGCCTCTTTATAATCTGTATTTGTAAGTTGTTTTACAGAAGTAAGTACCACATATTCCATTAATACAAATTTGCTATTTGACCCATTGGAAGCATCCTTCTGCAGGATGTTTTATTTATGTTGTTAATCCATACAGCCCCAGTCACATATTGAGAATACTTGGATAACTATTCAAATAACTTATGCCATGTTTCACTGATCCAAAACATGGTGGTACATAAGTATCCAGTCGCTTGATGAGCAACACAGAATTGTTAAAGTATGAGAAGATGAAAAACTGTTTCAAAAATTTCAACATTTTCAGCCCATAAATGTAGGCAGTGGCTATATTTACACTAGTGGTTATGCAACTTCAATGGTTATATTTATGACTTTACCACTAGACACTTGCGAGTCTTGTTCATAGCCAGGTACTACTGTAGTAATAGCTATTGTTACTTAGACTTTGTCAAATAACTGTGGAAGGTTGGATTACACCATTTTGAACCATACTGGAGCACTTATAAAAAGGATTTATAATATAAATAACTCCAACAAGCTACAGGACAGCTTGAGATGGTTACAGTATTTGCACAATAAACTGCATTGTTTCAGTTCAACTTGAACATTTCCTTACATTTGTTGATCAAAGGTGTATTTTTGTGTTCCAAAGTTGAAAATCAAAAGCTTTTACAGCAGGAAAATTATTTTAATTTCAAAAATAAACTGTTAAACTTAAATATGTAAATATTACAGGAAATTAAAATACAACACTCTGACATGTGCAGGAGGTGCCAATATTCAAGTCAAGATCTTTTAGCAAAGCAAATTACTTGTATCTGGAATGCAAAGCTAAATTTAAAACAAAAATAATCTCACAATGAATAAAAATACAATATTTTGGCATATACAGAAAATGTGAAAACATTATACAGTATTTCAGTACAAGTATATGAAGAAAAACTAATACACACAGCTAAGTCAACTAGATGAAGCTTTCCCATGCGAACATGCTGTTGTCCATCTAATCCTTTTTCACTAGATTCCACAGTTATGGAGAAGATAGCATGTGATCTAGAGCTGTGTGCATTCATATTGGTTGCTCCAACAGCTCCTGAAAACCATCAAAACACAGTTTATAAATACAAGGTCTGATAAGTTTAAAGAAGTGAACTGGCTTATCTGAAACTTAAAAGTGTTCAACTAAAACCCTTAAGTGTGCAAATTGTAATTGGAGCCCAGTCTGTATAAATTAAAAGCTACAATTAGTGGATCTTTTTTTTTCATCAAATCTATTAAATCTTCATATTAGTTTCAGAATATGGAACTATTAAATGACCAATTGTTCAGAAATATTAAAATTGGATTAAAAGATACTAGTTGTCAGCATGTAGTTAATGTAGATTAAAAGTTCTACCTTCTCCCTAGTTTCTATAAAGTCCTTATTCTATAATTTATATAAGTTCTATAATTCTTTACAGCCCAAGAAGGAATTACTGACTACTGAAATGTTAGATTTTAATCATAAGCCAGATTAAAAGATTACGTTATAGACATATTAACTAAAGAGAACCAGCTCATCTAACTATCACGCTTAGACTAATTACTTAAATATTTTAATTAAAAAGAAGAGATATTTTCTAATCTTTATAATTTGTTTCACTCCCTTCACAACAATATTAAATAAAACAATTTATTAATGCAATAAGTTCAGTTTATACATTTGATAAAAGCCTAATAATATTCTTTAACCTTTTTTTGGCTAACACAATGAAAACCACATTTTCCATAACTCCAGAAATAACTGAAAAGGTTCTATGGCCAGAATATTCATATAAGCCATATTTAAGATGCTTTTAGCTGAAAATCTGCTTGCAAAATTCAATTGATTTATATACAATCTTATGGTTCATACTTATACTTATGGACAAAACTTATCATTGTTGTGTTGATAAACTACCAATATTTTATATCATCAACCAATAAGAACACTCACTGTTTTTGTTCCCAAGAGTCATAATCCTATCAAGTTCATCAGCTGTATTCACTACAAACGCAGAGAGGTCTTTCACATAAACACCTACATCAGGCCTTTCTTTCACCTACACAAGATTATATTAGTCACAGCCAAATATAAAAGAAAAACACTTAAGTTTCCTGTTGTTTCACTGGCTAATTTCTCAAATTGCTATGTTAACTTTCAACAACAATATGTCTTTGGTTAGTTTCTTAAGTTACTTTGATAATTTTCAACAATATTATCTCTGGTTACTTTCTTTACTTGCTTTGTTAACTTTCAACAATATAATCTATCTGGTTAATTTGTTTAGTTACCTTGTTAACATTCAACAATATTATCTCTCTGGTTAGTTTGTTTAGTTATTTTGTTAACTTTAAATGAGAAGCTCGCAATTTTCCTTGAAGTAATTTGATTGATGACATTTTCTGGATACCCATTTTCTAGTAAAATAGTTTTAATTGTCTTCAATTCGAAATTTAGTTTAGATTTTGAACAGACAAAAAAATGGTAATTGTATATTTACAGTACAAAGAATACCCAAACCTAGAACCCGATGGACTAAAGTAGCAATAAGGTTCGTTTTGCAACTTTTAGGACTGAAAGAATCCCATCGCGTGTACTGTCCTGTAAAGGTAGGTTTTCTGTATATACTGGTGAGAAAACGAAAGTCATCTTTTTCAACTAAGACATCTAGGAATGGTAAAAAGTAATGTTGTTCCTTTTCGAAAGTAAATTTGAGAGCCGAGTGCAACGAGTTCAGGTCTTGTAAGAAACACTCACATTCCTGTTCAGTTTTAAAAATGGCAAATGTGTCGTCTACATAGTGGAAGTAAACAGCAGGTTTGGTAACTTTGTTGAAGAGTTCTTTTTCAATGAAACCAACGAAAATATTGGCTAAGGCAGGTCCAAGAGGAGAACCCATGCCGACTCTGCCAATCTGTTGATACATGATATCATTAAAGCTGAATTCCAATGAAAGTGTCGCAGTATTCATCAGTTCAATAAACAGGTCCTTAGGTATTGGAGGGCACTGAACTTCTCCCCCATACACAGTATCTGCACAAATTTTGATGGTTTCTTCCAGGGGTACATTAGTAAACGGGTTGCTGATGTCGAAGGAGCACAAAAACGATTGTTTAGGATCAAGGCTAAGGTTCTGTATGGTTGTAGCAAAAGAAGAGGAGTCTTGAATACAGTTTTCTGAAAAGTACGTTAACACCTGTTCTAAAATTTCAGAAAGCCACTTCGCTAATTAGTGTTGTGCAGGGCCAATCATAGACAAAATCGGGCACAGTGGTATATCCTTTTTGTGAGTTTTAGGAAGGCCATACATGCAAGGATGTTGTGACTCATTTTATAAGCTGTACTATTTCCTATAGATCATTTTCCGGATGGTTCTGCTACGATTAGTGTCTGGCAAAAAGCTTCAGCAGATATTTCCTTTCCAACATCTCAACCAACAATTGGTCCAGTTATCAACGCTATTTTCAAGTTTTGAACAACTCGACTTTCAAGATCTACATATCTATATGTGCCGATGTTTCTGTTTATCAACAATATATTTTAAGAT